CAAAACTACTTGAAGAATCATGTTGATTGACGTGTTGTGTATCGTCTTTGCTTCATCGTCAGTGTGTTTCAGTTCCGCCTAGCAGTATTTTGGACTTTTGGGGCTTTCATGTTTCGACTTCTAAGTAACATTGTTAGTAGACTTAAATGCTCTATCGTGGTTATATATAATAACGTAGATGTAATAACCTCGTTTGCGTATTTACAATATAGTCGCCACAGAACTAGGAGAGATACTCTCTGGGTGAGATGCGACTTAGAAGAACTTAACGGTTTTCATGCAGCGTCAAGCGTTTTCGCAAAGAGGAGATTTTACCCAACAAAATCGCTCTGCGGGTCAGGCTGCGGTTGCCACCGAACAAGCCAGATACAAGAGCTGCAGCGTCATGGTCGTACCTTACCAACACTACCAATACCGCCGCAGCAGTCGTCAATGCAATTTTACTGAAATGCATAAATATGAACTCTCATCTGAAGACTCATTCCTGCGAGCATCCGTGTGACACACCACCATGGTGCGCCTCGCTATAACGTCTCACGAAGTATACTAGTATCGCATATCCGCTGGATGGCCGGCTGTGCGTGGGTGTGTTTATTTGTCTGGCTGTGTGCACATGCATGAGCACACTCTCCGCGAATTAATTAAATGCATGGGTGTGCGTGTCTATCTGAATGCGTGCTGCGCGCGTGCACCTGGTCGTGTGCGTGGGTGCGCGTGCGTGCGTGGGTGGTGCACAGACACTTGGAGCGTTTCAATAAAATATAATGCTAAATAAATACGAAATCTATTTACTACCAAAGTCTTAATGTTTCTAATACTATTTTTCACCTATTATTGCCGACAATTTTCTGCAAATGCCGTCCAAATGCTCATCTGCAACAAACGCTGGCTGCCACCATGGCTGCCGCTGCACACTGACACATAAATATATAGCTAATATCTCTACATAATAAACGCTCCAAGTGCCTGTGGGTGGGTGCGTACTTGTGCGTGTGAGTGCGTGCACGTGCGTGCGTGCGTGCGTGCGTGCGTATGTGCTGTGCGTGCATGCATGTGTGTGTGTATGTTTGTGTGTTTATGTGTGTGGGGGGTGCGTACGTGTGTGTGTGTGTGTATATGTGTGTGTGTACTGGCTAGCTGGATGTGTGCGTGTATGTACAACGGTGTCGCGGCCCGTGTGTGTGCTCTTTGTACGTGCATAGGCACACGCATGTACAAAGCATGTGCTGGTGCGTGAGCGTGCATGTGCGTATGTGCGTGTGTCAATATAATCTGACGTGCGTGTCTGTCTATATGGGTATACTGGGAGAACCTATGGTGGGGATTCACGGACGGGTAAATGTCAGGGATTGTGCATGCGTACGAGAGGGTGTACGTGTGTTTATGTCTGCGTAGGTGGATGGCTGTCTCTGTGGAAAAATAATCGACCGTTTTCAGTTTTGGCGTAAATAAATGACACACGTGTGAGTAAGCGCACTTACGTAAGTAAATACCAGTGCATTGTCAATTCAACTCGACCTGTTAATTCATAACATTCCTATTAAAATTTTATTTTCGCGATGCCAAATACTAGGAATTATTTTTTAATATTAGCTTAGAAAGAACATAATTAATTGCTCAACAAAATCGCTTCATTTCATATATCCTTGTTGAATTGCGTTCTATCCAAATGATCAATGCGTGTGTACTGTGATGATAGTGTTTGCGTAATGTGTTTTAATGTGGTTTAATATGAACAATCGTTAATGTTTAAATCAAACTAATTGTGAGTATTTGGAATGTATAATGTTAAGGACTTGCCCATCAATCATCTAAGGAAGGCTTCTACTTCCCGATCTAGGTTCTACGGTTCAGTAGGTGTGGTAGTGGCACCCGTTTTAAGGGTAGCGTCAGGTTGCGTCGATAGAACGATCGAATGATGACACGAACGCAGTATTATAAAGCTACTCTCCGTGCTTCTATTACATCACAGAATACTTTAACATCTAAACAAACACAACTCACGATACTACACAGATGCCTACACACGCAGAATAAGTCATCGAATACAAGTAATTTCGTATCTTAGGAGGAGGTTCCTCCTAAGAGGAGCTTCCTAAGAGGAGGTTCCTCCTTTAGAGAAGGTTCACGGAGACGCTCGGCGGGGTGAAGGTGTAAGGTCGACGGTAGAGTGGAGAGGTATAGCTGGAATAGGGTGTAGGAGCTAGGCGAAAACTGGACTATGCTGCAGAAAGGATGAGAGCCGAGTGGTTCTCTACCTGCGCGTTTGGCGTCAACAAATCCGGTCCCTAAGGGATGACGCAGGTAGCTGGTGGCGGGTGACACCAATATATCACCCGGCGAATATGGCGAGATTTATATTGGTTGCTTACGCCGTGCGGCGAAGCTCATGCAGACTCATGGGAAATTATAAATGTAAACAATAAGTGTGGAGAAGCCGGCGCTTTCCTACAATCATTTACCCGGCTGATCGACGACTGTGAGTCGGGGAATAGATGACGCACTAAAAGTGGTAATTGAAGGAATTCCTGCAGAAAAACTGGAACCGAGACCGCGTTATAACTATAGGTGGTTTTGCGTTTATGTGCGGTTGGGGCATCCGCGCTCGCCAAGCTGATATTGCTGCCGAAACGCCGCGCTCTAACTCTTACATGCATAGATGCGTGCTTGGATACGATGAGCTAATTGGACGCGATTTGCACAGTTAAAGGAACATATACTTTCGTGAATATACGTGATTAATATCACATCTATTTAAAAAAAATTGTTCGAAAGAATTTTGCAAGCATTCATCACCGCGCTTGATTTCCGCAGTTTTTATTCGCTACGCAGTTTATTGTAATCTTATAGAAAAAAATTTGAAAAAATATTTCCGTAGTCGTCAGTGTAGCAATCTGTGGAAATTACTCTACAGCTGCCATCGCGTGTTTTTCATGCACACGCAAATGATGGTTTTTTCTACGCCGTAGCTTTAGATTCTAACCACGGTGTCCGGAAATTGGTGACGGGAAATTTTGCTACAAATACTAACGCTCGGTTTGCTACCATGAAGTGAAAAGAGGAGGGCACAGGGAATGGGGAGGGAGGGAAGATGAGGAGAGAGAAGAATGTGGTAAATTGAGGTAGAGGAGAGAAGGTTGAAGAAGGTAAGGAGGGGCGAGGGAAGAAAAGCAGAATATGAGGTGGAGAAAGTGGAGAAGGAGATGGGATGAGAAAGAGAAGGTAGCGAATAACGAAGGGAACATAGAATGCGACGGGAGGCAGTAGACGAGATGGAGAAGATGGGACGAATGTGGAGGAGGAAAGGGGCGGTAGCAGGAAGAATTGGAGAGAGAAAAAAACAGAGAAGGAAGGAGAAAGAGAGAGGAGGTGGAGAAGTGGGAGAGGGTGTGTAACGTGATCGAGTGCGTAGAAGAGAGAGAACGTTCAACGAGAAACAAGATGTATTGTTCCATTTGCAATGGCGTCTGCTTGAACTGACTACTGCTAATTTACAGCGCATTACGAAGACGCGCAGTTATTGGCTGCTGCTATATCCCACACCACTGAGGTGTATTTAATTTTGCCAGGCTATGCATACGACCAAGAGCATATAAATAATGCTTCTTTATATGCTCTTGATACGACACATAATATTATAGATGATTGTATACACGTTCCATTCTCCCCTTTCTGAGAAGCTGTTACGTATTTGGTATCAATACACATCTGAATAACTTTTTTTAAAGTTATTCGTTTGAACTTTTTTTTAACTTAATCGTTTTTAAGTTTAAAGTCGTACTGTAATTGACATAACGAGAGGGTCTAACTGTGCGACCAGATCGCATTGTCACGCGTGTAGTCCATCCATATTGACACGTTCCCGTATAATGACGTTTGCGTCCAAGCGGCTGATGTAGGTAAGTGGTCCTCTACGTAGGGGGCACTCTGCTCTGTGGCATACACCAGAACTTGTATTATTTGGGTCTCTACATTTATCTATGTATTCTTCATCTCAATCCACGTCATTTGGTTCAGGCCTCACTGTTTACGGTGTCGAACGCGCTTGGGTTCGGTTGCAGTGGTATAGCGTGCCGGCGCTCTTGACCAGGTATAAGCGCGAGTCTCTGAACTCGACCTTGTGACCTTCGCTGTTCTCCTGGGCGTCTGCCGCGAGCAGCGTCACCACGCTTCGGCCATGGCAGATATTTTTACTGCTCGTCGTACTGCCTTGTCTGACAATGTTTAGTTTTTATCAACCCAGTGTATATAAGGCGTGTCCGGTTCAGGAACTAGCAAACTCTGGGCCATTGGTAGTAATGTGCGGGTTCGGTGTCCAAATATTCGCTGTGCCGGTGCTGTGTGCACTTATGCTACGGAGTATTGCGATAGTCCAGTAGAGCTAGGTAGGTACACATCTGACTTGCTTTCAATAGCTTTTCTCAGCAATAGCTTACACGTTTTTACCGAGTTCTCCACCTTTTTATTGGACTTGGGGTAGTGTGGTGACGACGTCACATGTTTGACGTTCAGTTTAAAACAAAGTTTTAGAATTCTTGGGGAAGGAATACAGCTGTATACCATATCTGGCGAAAGGGATTTCGAGCTTGTTTCATTACTAATTTCGCTGCAGTGCTGTCTATAACAGGTCTCCCTCGAAGATGTTTGAAAAGTAATGCGCTGTTATGAGGTCGTTGTGACCCTCTGCACGGCGCAATAACTGTCAGTGGTGTTATTATGTACAGTTCAGTGGTCGGTTTTTGTTATGTAATGCCCTAGCTGCCAACATTACAGGAAATATTTCATGTCACGTGACATGCTGTGGACCAATTTTAATTAGCTATTATATTATTTTCAGCCTTACACACACACAAACGCGCACACACACACACACACACACACACACACACACACACACACACACACACACACACACACACACACACACACACACACACACACACACACAGACAGACAGACACAGGAACAGATTCAGGTCGATGTTGTTTGTCTCTTTACAGAGCAACGAGTTTGCAGTCATCAGGGAACTGCACGTGCTGAAAAGGAACAGAATATCTGCAATCACCTCACTGCAATGCATCAACACCTGCGCATATTACGACGGCCTCTGCTCATCGCGCTGCTGCTGCTGCTGCGCGTTGTTTATCTTTACACTACTCCCTGTCTGTGTTTATGCCTCAGATTTTCCCGGTATCACCAACCTAGATTGTATTGCCCGTAAATAAAGTGAGTTTAATTTTTATTATAATTTTACGAGTTGAATCTTGTGGTCGCTGAGATGTTCCGCTGGTCTAATGATAATTAAACCGCATAGCGAATGCTATGATGTTGCCGATAGAGAGAAGGGAGGGGGGGGTAAAGGAGAGAGAGAAAGCGAGTGGCGCGCAAACCAGAGATAGGAATCTTTACCAATTTGTTGTCTGTTTTATCTCATTTTAGTGAAGGCACCAAAGTACCGCAGCACTGTCTAATTATCATCGGGAGACTGTGAAAATTAATAACCTAATATGTGTGCCTTTCAGGTACAACCGTGCATGTCAACATGATTACGCGGCATAACGTTTGAAAATAATTATTATATGCGATAAATATCTATTACGCTTATAGATGTTTCTTGTTAGAAATGCTCAGTTTTTGGTACTTGTACTACAGCATCATTTCATTGATTGTATCAATTGTACAATTGTATCCTGATTGTATCATTACATAGCGTAATGTAATGATAAAACGGTTTCTCGTCATTAGTGATGACCTGGTGGCTTATTCTGCATTTGGATACTTAATTGCTATTCGATTTCTAGGCTCCGTATTCCACATCGCTATGCTTAACAAGCAATGGTTAATGCAACCAATGAAAATCTCGCGAGTTATTCCATGGACGCTGTAATACGAATGTTTAATTTTGCTAACACGTTCTGCTAGTGAATATAGAGCCCATCGTTTTCACATATACTACCATTTTCAAATGGCAATTAATTCCTTTTTTCATTGTACTTAATGAACTTTGGTGAATTCTTCTGCTAGTCATCCGAGCTTGTGGTGCCGTGTCGGAGTAAAATTGTTCTCGGAATAAACGTGTGAGCAAAACGACGTAAATTGTTGTCAGTGCGTTCATCATGCATTCAGTGCGTTCAGTGCGTCATTGCAGGAATGGAACCATACAGGTGCCACGCGAGTCAGATTTTCTTTGTTCCTGTAAAATGAGAATGTTGTGTATGCGTAACCTAATGATGCTGTGTATTTTATTTGCACAGTGATGGGTAAAATTCACAAGCGACTCATTCGTATTGAGTTCACTCGGAGGATGCTGTGTAGCTTACTTGATTTCAACCATCCACTATGCACTAAAACCACCCGTCGCAGTGTAAGGGGTAATCAAGATATAGCACGACCATGTCTGCAGTTTTGACACTATAGTCGTGATATGTTTGTGGTGTAACATAATATCTGATCATATCTACGTTATGTGTGCGCGTTAGCTCTAAGATTGCTCTCTGGGTTTGCTCTAATTCGTTTGCCCATATAAGCATTTTTAACGGGCTAGGTTTGTGAGCAGATTATGAGATAGCTTTAATAACGCACTTGAATGCGTGGGGAGTTATATATTTTGGAAGTGTTTATGTGAAACTAGAATAATTGAATGTATTCTTGTATTAGAATTGTAGCCAGCGGTGGGAAACCCCGATATAATTAATGCACGATTAGAAAACTGCAAGAGGATTCCGTTACTGTATGCGGAATATGCCATTACGAAAGTCGTATTTATTGTGGGAACTTTAGCAAGTTAAATGCCGATATATTACAATCGCAAAGTAATTTTTTATAGCGATCGAAATTGGAATTGAATTTATCGGAATCGCATATCGCCGTTCTGGTATATTAATTGAGTTGATACAACACTGCAGACATGCTAAATTATGTTTAAGCATGATATTACGATTAAATAATGCGTGGATTTTAAAGCATGTCACAAAGCTGTTAGTACGTACCGGTAATGAACGCAGTTACAGATAAGGAATACTGGTTATGAATTGTACTCTTATGTATAGTGTCTATAATTCTAAACTGCAGATATGTTAAAACAGCATGCATGCGCTGGCAATACGGGAATAGCTGCACTCACTCTAGCTTCATCTCGGCGAAAAAAGGCACACCTCGGCCGATCACACCTGTAGTTACACAGATACGTACGTAATCACGCACGTACACCCGCACGCACGCACGCACGCACGCACGCACGCGTGTACGCACAGATAAACAGGAACGTACGTACGTAGGCGCGCAGACATATCAATGCGTAAACTTACATATGGGCACGTGTGACTATAATCTAAGACATCTTTGGCAATTCATTAATAAAATGTAATGAAATATGTTTTTGTAATGTTGTCACATCTGTGCAGGTTGACAAGTAATTGCGGACGGTTTGACAATTTAATGGGAAGATTTTGTAAATAATAAGTTTCTGTTGCTGTAATTTTTTTTATACGAAAAATCTTCGAAATCCTACACGAGCTCGTGAAATATAATTATTGAATTTAATTTACAAGCTTTTTTTTTGTTCTGTCTCTCTTCAATAAATCTAGCTCTTGAATTATAGCCATGCATTCTATATCATTTCTTGGCTCGGGGGGGGGGTGTAGTCCAGGCATTTCGTGAAAAAAATGGGGTCAACCTCGGACAAATTGCAACAGAAAGTTTGTCAACTGTTTTATACACAGAAATATGTCCTCTATAACATATAAAAACCCTTAAGGAATCCTGGTGGTGGAAGGTTCCATGGCGGCCATTTTTCAAAATGACCGCCATACAACTGATATTTCCCTATATCTCCGATTCTAAATAACATAGAGATTTGATTTTAAGTGCTAAACATGCATTTTCTGGGGCCAGGAATCCAATGACACACATTTCAATAAGCTAAACCTGACTAAAAAGCCGAAATGGCAGCCAAAACCAGATGTCATGGTGCCATATAGCATCAGCTAAAACCGGCTCGATCAATGGATTCAGCATGCTAAGTTATAATTATATTTTAGGCCGCGTAAGAGCTATTTCACCACAAATATTATTACAATAGTCACGCACTTGGTGAAATTATCACTTGGACAAATAACAATAAGCTCTTTGTAGAAGTTACAGTAGAATGTTCAGAAGAAGGTGCAGAAGTTACTGTAGTGCTAGTTTTGTGTCGAAAATTGGCTGTAGTTTCGTCAACATCTTTCTCCTACACGTGAAGTCGCTCACTGCGACCATAACTACCTTTACTATAAAATGATAATATTAACAAAATATACAATTGAAAAACTATTGAAATTTCCTCCATTTAAAGGTAATCCACACCATGGCATCGATATCTATGCACTCGTTCCTACTTAAATGTATAAACTTTCTGAATAACATTAACTCATTAAAGTAGAAACATTTAGTTTGCACAGTGTGTGTGTGTGTGTGTGTGTGTGTGTGTGTGTGTGTGTGTGTGTGTGTGTGTGTGTGCGCGGCGTGCGCGGTGCTGTGTCGTGTGCGTGTTGGCGTGTGCGTGTCGAGCGTAGCCGCGTGCGTGCGTGCGTGCGTTTGTGCGTGTGTGTATGTGTGTATTTATTGGCACCTACCAGCTATCCCTCTACATCCCATGTGTGTTAATCTCCGTCTGTGGCGATTACACATTGATGTTATGGTGTGCCACCATGGTATGGTATTGTGTGCTGCGGTGTGGTGGTGTTGTGTATTGTGATTTGGTGTAGTATGGAGTGGTGAAATTGAGAATGACAGCTGTCTCTTTAGGACTACTTGACGGGGGGGAGGGGCATTTAACATATCAAGGGCATAACAGACTCACAAAGCACATCTTGACTGAAGGCATTCTCTTCGATAGCGTCCTGATAAATAATTAATTATCAAAATAACGGCTATGAAATTGAACGGCCTGTAGGCAGAACGTCAATCTATTCAAACTTTTATCCGTTTTATTTTATTTTTATAGACATGGATTTGCTTGTATTTCATCATTGTTGCTCAATACATTTGTTGTTGCACTAATAAGCGGAAGTTTGCTTGTTACTAATGTTGCATCGGATCCATTTTAGATGCTACCAGTTTTTACATGTAGGATGTCAATTTTCCATTAACCTTTTCCCCCTTTTACTAGGGTTATATCTAAGTGATCGCTAATCCTACGCAAAATTTGCATGCATTTGAATATTGATATGACATTTATTGATGTGGCGAACGTGCATCATAATGCAATCACTGAATCCGTTTCATTTAATCAAATATGTTACCAACTGTGGCTCCAATACTCTGTAGAGTGGCGCTTTGGAATGACACTGCATATCTGCGCATGTGTGATTTTGTAGGTCCGTAACATAATCTGGCGGCCAGCACGACTGAAGGGCCACGGGTAAATCCACTACAGGCGAAATAGAACGTATAGATTGGCAAAAGACGTAAAGGGAGTTTTAACAGTGCAACTGGACATACGGACATGGGTGCCCGCCCACTGTCTTTCGTCAGTTTCGAGCAGTAAAATTGACCTCGTCCTTACCTTATCAGAATAGGATGCCTGATTCCGGCTTTGCCGTTGATGTTGCCGTCTTGCATATTTTTATATTGTATCGTAGGCTAATTCTTAGCTTTATTACTAATATTTTTGCTCTATTATTTATTGCTATAAACTACCGAAGCAGTTTCCACGCAGTGTTGAGTGTTGGTATTATATCATATGGTATATATATATCCGCCATGGGGTTACACAAGTACAGCTATAAATTAATATGATAGAAGACGCAGAAACATTGTGCAATCAACTTTTGCATACCGTGAAATTGTAGCCTCTCACATTAAAAGAGGTAACTAACAAAAGAAATTTAGTCAATTCTAAAGAAATTATTGTTAAACCCTCTTCTTGAGGTCTATAGCTCACTACACGGCTACCGTTCGCACATGAGTGGGAAGTACATATAATGGCTCTTTAAATAAAGAAATGGAAACGGTAGATAAGCACTAAAACAAAAATGTTTTCCACTCTGTCCGTCGGAACATGTCTTTCAAAAATCCGTCATTTGCCCAATTTCCCTTTGACACTACACCTCAAATTCTACCTCCTAATATTGTCTTGGGAGTCGGGGCGTGCTTTTTTGGCACGTCATATGAACTGGATCACGAAACATGAACTGGCCGTTAGTTTGCTCAGATGCGTTAAACTCAATGAACTGAACTTACAGGGAGCAGAGGTTGAAAGGGCTTCGATATGGTAGCATGCGACTCAACCAATTGCTAGTTGTTAGCAGCTCTTGCCAATTGTGAATCTTCTTGTGATACCTTCGAGCGCAAGTCGACAGTTCGCATTTGTTTTCAAAGGCCTGGATGAGTTGATCTAGCTAGGCCATACAGTTCAGTCCAAACAGGCCCTTGAATTGCGCCACCTACTATACGTATCACAAATCAAGTTTTTAGACTTGTGCATATTTGACGGACGAACAGGCGGACGGCCGCTCATGCCATTCTCCAATCGGCTGCATCAAACGATAGGATGAGGTATAAATATGTAACAATTATAATTCTCATGTAATTATTAATTATAAATATATAATCTAAATATAATCGTGATTAAACATCGCCTAATGTAGAATTTTCGAAGTATACATTTACTGGTGCACACACTAAAAGAAGTTGAGAACTTATATAACAAGTCTATTTACTGGTAATATTAGGCTGAAAACTTGATGTAGTAAAATTGCCGAATATGTGTCTGTTGAAACCGAACTAAAACTCTTAGCTCTTTATAGATCGATCGACTGTCCTTGAATGCAAAATATGCAATCTTAATGAAAATATCTACTTCCACTTAGAACTACTTTCAATCTACATACCGAAATAGTGGTGATGAACAACAACATTTCTGAAAATACATCGACAGCCAATACTATTCCTTTAATAATTATGGGGGTATATTAACGTATTAATACGTTTTAATGTATACGTATTGATAAATTATTTAACAATATTAACGTATATATACGAAAATATGCGCATGAGCCACTTTCATGCAATTAATTATTGTTCAGTAGCGAACGACTATCTTCAGGGTATTGCGTTTTCTTCTAGATTAATCGCGTTTGATTGCACAGCTCTGACTTAAAAAATCATTGCTGGTAAGTCTAATGGAATTTAATCTAACCATATAGATAACTATGTTTCACTTCGCATAGTTCAATCGGCTCTGGGACATCTATGACCGTCATTACGTTTCGAGGAAATTTTTCATTAAGCTTAAGTAATTATATAAAACGGAGAAATGTAAGCCCATTGCTCTACATATCTAACATCGCTTTACAAATTCGGGTAGATGGGACCTCGATCATGCATAATCTCGTCGCTGTTGTATGAATATTTGCTTAAGTCACGATATACAAGAAACATTAATTATATATATATATATATATATAACTCTCTCTTTCTCCCTCTTTTTCTCATACATATGCGCTACGTACGCACGCACATAGTACTCAATATATGATGTGGCTGGTATACACATAAGCGTATCACACAACAATTTTGCTTTCGTGTGATAAAGAAGGTTGCGACATGTCCCTTGTTTGACCTTTGACAATGACCTAGGTGTAACTCTGAGCGTAAGCTGGGTTTACACTACCGACAGTAGCCTACTTATCGGCAGTGTACACGTAAAGGTTGCGCGAGAAACTGGTTAATAGCAATTAGTTGGGAGATTAGAACATGCTCTATTTTCGCCAGCTCTAGATCTCTGTTGCCGAATTGCGAAATTGGTCCAATTCGCCAATTTGACAGCATAAAGTCGGTAGTGTAAACCCAGCATCATTACGTGGGGAGTGCGACTTTCCACTTGACATCATTCGCTGCGACCTTGACGCTGAACGTTACGGTTTGTCGTCGTCGCTGTCGGCCTTGACCTTTTCTAGAGTTGCAGATGTTATTCCCTTGCCATAGAGCTAGAAACGTGAGTCGTCCGTAGTAGAGCTATAGCTGCGTGCCGTCAGCTATAGAGCCATAGACATGAGTCGTCAGCTATAGAACTACAAGGCCGGAGTCGTCAGGTATAGAACTACAGGCAGGAGTCGTCAGCTATAGAACTAAAGGCAGGAGTCGTCAGCTATACAACTACAGGCAGGAGTCGTCAGCTATAGAACTAAAGGCAGGAGTCGTCAGCTATACAACTACAGGCAGGAGTCGTCAGCTATAGAACTACAGGCAGAAGTCGTCAGCTATAGAACTACAGACAGGAGTCGTCAGCTATAGAACTACAGACAGGAGTCGTCAGCTATAGAACTACAGACAGGAGTCGTCAGCTATAGAACTACAGACAGCAGTAGCGCTCGTGTTTCACGTGGTTATTACTCTGAATTAGGTGAAACAGCTAGTTATTGTGTGCGGAAGTGCAAAACGGTGTTGTCTGCGACGTTAATCTGTACACACAAATTCCATCATCAGTTTTGCTATCATGATCGCTATCAGTTTCGCTCCTGATTATGATGTAGTCATATATCACAACGGCTCATGTTACATACATGTCGCAATGGGTGTGTTTTGATGCAAGGCGCGCAATTGGAGTGTGTTATTTTTTATTATAATAATAATAATATTGATAATAATAATAATAATGTCGAGAAGGAGTTATTGTTTACACAATAGAGTAGTGATTTAGCATGTCCATATTATCTCCTGATATTATATGGTTTGTAGCAGTGGCAGGGTTTTCGAATTTTCTCGAAAAAAAAATCGCGAACAGTAGTAAATGGCGTTGTCCCTCTTAGCTACTCGTGTAGCCCTTCGCTCCATGCCACTCTCGAATCAAAATCGAATCACCATAATTTGACCAGATTGGGCAATTTACCGAACGCAAACGAACCGACAACACAAATAGGCGACCATATCTTATTTCAACAGTGACAGCGCTTCAGTGAATGGTTCCAGCACGATTCAATGCCGCAGCCCAGCACTGTACGTGGTAGTAGCGTGGGTAACCGGCGTTGATCGGGGAAAAAACGCGTAGGGACAACTTGTAGAGCAAATTCGGACACATATATTTATTTAATTCTGAGAATAGAGTCGTAACAGAGCAACAAAATATGAAGGGGGTAAATAATATTCTGACAAAAACAGTTCCAAACATTCTATGATTCTATGTAATCAAAGCTTCTGCATATACAACATTAATTGTTATGAAAATGCGTCCAGTTATAATGAATATACCTCTCTGGCTGTGCAAGCATCGTCTCGCCTTTTAAAAACGCAAATGGTGAGTGTTTTGTCACGTGTCCTTTTTATCATTGGTATTAGCAATACATCAAAATAATACATGAAAACTCTCATTAGTATTTGAAATTACTGCGTATTAAGTATTGAGCATCTAATTGGTATCTGAAGAGCGCACAATAGAAATCGCAAAGTTAATACGCTGGCAAACACTCTTGTACTTATTGTACAATAATCAAACACGCTACATGGATTAATAAACTAAGCTAAATACATGGGACAATAAACTGAACCCGTCAATTTAGCACGATATGAGATCCGGGTATAAATACAGAGTTTCCGACGTGATTCTTTCTTCTTCTTGCCTCTAATGCAGTATATGGTATTGTAAGCGGGCAAAGGCCACACGCCAGGGAAGGTGATGACGGATGCGAGAATGGTGTTGGGGTGATGCATGACACAGGAGCGGGCGAGTCAGCGGTCGGCACGGAGATCAAAGAGAGCGACTCGAGATGGCGCCAGCTAGGCTGGGAATCGCAGTCATGAATCTCCGGAGTGTGACAGGCGGCCGCACACGGGCTGACCTATGGATAACGGTGCTGACCGATAGATGGCCGTGTTGACACCATGGTCCGAATTGGCCGTGGCGTTGCGCCAAGTGCGCACCACGCATCCCGCAACCATATTAGGTAGCGGGAGATAGCGGTAGCAATCCGCACTCTGCCGTATTCGGGAGGGCCGGTTGGTCAGAGTTGGGAGCTAAAGGAGATCTGTGACGTAGGGGAAGAAACGTGATCGCGGGACTGGAGCGCGCCGTATAAAAGAGGAAGCGGTCGACTGCTCGGGGCTTCTTCTGTCGAGACGTAGTTTGAGAAAGGTGTAAGTTGCGTGATACGGTTACTATGCACTGTAATGCTTTTCTATTTGTTAGCGCACTGAGACTCTATGTATTGTATTAGAGATATAGATATAAAGCACTAGTGAACGTTACTTCTTGTCTTCTCTTATCTCTCTCTGTAGTCTATTACAGAATTTCACATCGTAGCGCAAACACGCGTCTACAGTATATCAACTTCTTCCTTGTTCCTGCTTCTAATGCAGTATGCAGTATATAAACTTGCAGTATACTCTATGTATTGCACTGTAGCACTTCTTGAACTAGAGGTTGCGTCTTCTTTATTAATAGAATTTTGCATGTATTTTTCACCGACTGTTTGGTAGGCGTAGAAAATGTTATGTATAAAAAATTAGTGTTGCGTACATTTATATTATTCGATAAATTAGCAGGATGTCAACACTACAACTATCTGAGACGTTCTTCGAGGTGACTCGCCGCTGAGACCGTTGAAGTCTACGGAACACGTTGCAGATAGGTACATGCAGCGACTTGTGGTTCGGTTGCTGTAACGCGGATATTGCGCTTGTGGAGATTAGTAGTGATAGTTTGTGGAGATTAGATTCAGTTTTATAGTGATTCGGCTATTGTTTTGTTACTTAAACCCAGGCGTTGGTTACTACGCGGCAGCTACGAGAGTTGCGTTGTTAGGATTAGGCTGGGCTTACACTATCAACTTTTTGCTTGAAAATTTACAAATTAATAATTAACAAATGTGATGTATTTTCAATTAATCGACCGAAAATTGGCAGTGTAAACGTAAAAGTCTCGCGCGCAACTGGTTAATATCGACAGGTTGCAAGATAAGAACATGTTCTATTTTCGCAACTATTTATATCAGCGAATTGATTATGTTTTTGCCATGCGGCCACTCAGAGAACAGCAATCAGGGGGTGTGTCCCTCTACCCAGGGGAGAACACGCTGTCGCGAATTGATACGCTCAAAAATGCGTTTCCACGTCGCCCCGCGCAGACAGTACGCGTCAAAATTTTATGTTGAAAGTTTTGCCGACTCGCGGTCGATAACGTAACATCTTTGAATACCTGATAGAGAGGTTGATAGAATGCTGAAAAACTGATCATCTCGTCGATTTTTCCATAGTGTAAACCCAGCTTTATATTGACGCGGATGTTGTTTTGCTATTAATTACAGCTCCTATTGCTACTGTACTACTACTATGTACAGCACTATACAGTACGTAGTACGTACTACACAGCACTGCTGCTGGTGTGATGCTAGCGTTATAGTGACGTGGCTATTGTTTTATAATTAACCATAGGTGCTGGATAATTATACTTACTATGCGGCTACATGCAACGCCTGGTGTGATTTTACGGTGATATTGAAGTGGCTATTGTTTTATATTAACGCGTGCGTGCGTCCGTGCCTGCGTGCGTGTTTGTAGTGCGTGTGTGTGTTTTTGTGTGTGTGGGGTGTGCGTGTGTGTGTGTGTGTGTGTGTGAGTGTGCGTGTGTGCGTGTGTGCGTGTGTGTGTACAGCCACCTCTACTACCCGTCGGTATCCTCCACTGATTGCTTCTGATCCTCTCCCAAGATATTGAATTTCTCCCTTCCGTAGTTTTTCGTGTTCTTTTTTGCAATTTTGTCATTTTCCCTTTTACCAGAAAGGAACAGAGTTTGGGCCTCAACACTACCGACTATACTAGTTACCGGTTAGCTCTCAGCATAATTATATTGCTCCCGCGAATGCACGGTTAATACTTTTTGTCCGCCGGGAATTTCCATCTACTGCAGACAGAGAATGCCAGAGGGCACCTAAATGCTATATTATGGTATTATAATTTCACATGTACGTCCATGCGCAAGGCAATTAATCATATAATGGGCCTCGGAGTATTAACCGGTGTCAAATGACTTCTATATACGAATCATATTATACAATTATTACCAGAGAAATCAGACACTAACTGTTTTAGTATGTTTAAAATGTGGAGCAATTAATAGTTAGTACTATAAGAATATAAGTATGGCATGGCAAAATAGAACAGGGAGAATTCCACATAGTAGCACTGGCCCACCTATGATTTATTATGCACAACTCAAGAAACATGAACTAACGCGTTACCAACTCGTTCAATAACTCCGTAGTCGTTTTTCCTATATATAATCAGTATCCGGATCAATACACTAAAATGTACGCAAGCTTTATGTTAAAATGCGGTTCACCAAAACGGTTGCCCCGCCAAATGAACGACGTTAAAATGCAGTTCACCCAAACCGTGACTGCCTTCGATGGTGAGTAGCAGCGATTATGCTACGTGGTAGCATCTCTCAGCGGGCAATTTTGGTTCATATTTTATGGCACGTTAAATGCAGTCAGTGCAACAATTACTATGAGGTATTTTTGGTAGCAATATAACAGCAATTAATGTTCATATTCTACTATCTTCAATATACGTTTACATAATCTTAGCGTATGTAATATGTACGTACGTATGTTATATGTTTGTATGTGTGCATCTTGTTGCACCAATTGTTGCAACAAATTGTGCGATCTTCCTATTGCCGTAGATCTCGTACTAGCAAAATCCTCCCTCCTCACGAGCATTTTTCTGTGACGAGCTTTCTGCTAACGTGTTTTGCAGTGATTTGTTTTCTTGCTGGCTAAATCATGATGCGCTGTTCAATGCTGGATGTTATTGCATTAGCACGTGGCATTTCACAGACTGTGTTACACTCGGATTCACGTGTTGTTACACATGTGAAATATAAAACAATAGGTACATTGTGACTAACAAAAATAAATAATGTACATGTACAATAATTTTATGAAATGATGTTTTAATGCACCTTTATGATAAAAGCGCGTTTAATATGAATGAAAAGAAGACATCAGTATCGTAAACGGCGTTTAAAATTATGATTACAAACCCTGCAGCTGTTTAGAAATTGCTATCAGAGTCTGGTTTAAAGGTTGATACAGCTTCGGCATACATATACGACATATTTCCCAATTATTTTACAATTATGTAATAATGTTATAGTGATAATACATAAATAACGGATACACGACGAACAAATGACAGAATACAACGACAACTTTAATACAGAAACACAATGTTTACAGTACTGACCATAACATAATGAGAATGTAGTAGGCAATTAAAATACAGTTAATTTTGAAATCGCATAATATTAGAAATGAAATTATTCATTCCAAGCACAACACAACGTTGAATTATAAATTTAAAATATCCTAAAGTGTTAGAGAAAACAAACAAAGAAATGACCTTGTACAAGTAAAATACGTAGAACGCATTAATTAGACGTTACATTTATAAGTTACAATTAGTAATTGTCATGATATGTATCTCTTATCTCGTAAAATGCACGCGGAGACGTAGGATCCTCACACATGCTAGCAAACAACACGACTTAAACCTCCACATGCAACAAACACATATCTGTAGCCACAAATATACATTAGAACTGTAAGAATTCATCAAGGAAGCCGCATTCGCATTATGGTAAAATATCATCATTAAAAGTTTCTCGTTCATCATAGGAAATATTTCAATCAAAATTTATCATACAAATTAAGCATTATGGCGCACTCGCCTGACCTTGCCTTGGAATTAGCAATAACAATGATTCGTACTATGTTAAAAGTTAATGTGTTGACTAGCTTAGAAAACGTAACAAAGAAAGACTTGCTGGTTCATTCTCCAAAGGATAGAAGGCCACACAGAAAGGTGTATACATTGCGTGTAAACTATAGATATGTAAAAGCAAAAATATATTACTACTAGTATTGATATAGTTTTGGTAGAAGGCACAATTTACATCAAAATGTTTGAAACATTTACGAAAAGTTTTATATATAGAATCTTACTATATTTGGTTATTAAATCCATGTTATTATATTAAGCGCGTTATTATTTCCCTGCAGTGGTTGGTTACAGAAACACTAGTTGTTCTTTACGAAGTCATATATGCCATGGAGTCAATTACTTTAAACATCGGAATTTTATATCGGAAATCTTTACTTTTAACTTAAAAATCGAATGTTGTTATGAAATCATCTGGTCTTCGTCGCAAGCACGGTGCACTATAAAGCCTTTAACGTCATATTACTCTGTCGTTCAAGGAAACTTACTGGAAACCTTTACATTTGCCGTTTTGCCGTGAGTCGACTACGTTATAATTATTCGTAACACGGGCCGTCAGAGGAAATATTTAAATACATTGTTTCACTATTTCTACAGTTTGCTTCACTCGCCCTTGTAAGTAGCAGAACACAAATAGAAACGCATGGCCCGTTGGATGATCCGGCACCCGCAATACTTCGCGCATGCGAGTTGAACACCGAGTTCAGGCAATGCAATGCTTTCTCACAGCTGTTTCAATCAATTCAGCTAAATTCAATCGATTCATGGAATATCAAGGTCTGTGTGCATGAGCTAAGCTTAACTGTAACCCCAACTCGGATCTTACCCTAAGTGTGTTCTATGACACCGAAACAAAATTGCGAATCACCTGTTATCACGATATATCCCCTCACTCGGTGGAACTTATGGAAAACCACTTATAGTCCATTTAATCCGACTGGTCGCATTACTGTACGTATATACACGCTCCCCCTCGAAGCTTCTATCGCATTAATAGTAAAGTTCACTCATCAACGAGGGATTTATATGTACGAAACCCCGATTCCACTTTCTTCCGATTCAGTGGATGCTGAGTGAAAGCTTATTCATACGTAGAGATGTTGGTGTGTTAAATCTAATGCACGTAGCATGCTCGTTACAACCCTTATCACTCCAAATAATATACATTTGCTTGTAAACGGTGTACCTTTGTCGTTTTTGTTTGGAAGTCGTTTTTGAATGTAAAGATATGTACCTTTCGCTATTACCTTATGAAAATCAAAGGCATCTATACGCGTCTTAAATACTACTACAGTACTACTACTACTTCTAGGAGATGTGTTCATAGAGTTTGTGGTTTAGACTGTATACAAGTTTTCACACGATCGTGTTGAAAATGGTAAATGCTTGTTATGAAATATCTTATCGAGCAGTATCTTAGCGCCGGAACGATGTCGATGGTGCTCCTTTCGATGAAAAGCTCCCTGGTCTTCAATCAACTTCACGCGCTTTATGCGAGCCTGCTTGACTACACCTACTAAAAGCTCGTCCACTTTGTGGTTGATACCGGCGGAAACCTCTGCCAGCTTACAAGCGTACGTCTTCGCCACCGCAATCGCTTCTGTAAAATAACAATTTTATGAACAATAAGCTCAAAAATGGAAATCTTGCAACGGCGGTTTACGACTCCTGCCGGCACACTTAGGTGTTTGATCTGTAATATGAGATGAAGAGTTAAACGGATGTTGTGAGTTTTCCGACTGACAGATCAACATAGCCCAACGATGAATCACACGCGAAGAGCTTTCACATTAGAAAAATCGATGCAAGGCGGACACAATCTGCTATCGCCCTTGCATGATTTCGCCAAAATTACCTTCATGAGAAACTACTCTGCTTCTCGCGAGATCGCTTTTGTTGCCGACGAGAATAGCAGCCTTATATTTAATCTCATCGTATTGATGCAGCGTGTACAACACATCGACAGCTCGCTCGAACGTCGTACGCTCAGTAATAGAGTATACGATGACGTAGCCATCAGATTCCCTCCTGACGATGGTTATGTCCTATACGCAAAACCAGTGCATATATTTAGTTATGCGAACATGATAATGTAAGGACGATGTGATATATATGCACGTTGTCCTTCATTAATTGCTGTAAATACACCCATGTATGTCATGATAAGCTATCGATGGTAGGCCTATACGTGACAATACTTTTACGACGAAACACGCACGATCTTAACATATGACTTGCTGACCTACACGTTCACGATGATGTGCGTTTTAAATCGATTAAATTCACGACACATATAAACGCTGAGGTAGCCCCATGGTAACAACACTATTCCAGCGTTGATCGCCGGACACGTACGGAAAAAAAGACTAGCGAGAGCCGCCAATAAAAACTTACGCGACCAAAGGCGTCCATCGTCATCTCGTTAAAAATTATGTCTGACTCTTCCCCATCCAGCATTACAGATACGGTTTTCTCAGGGCTGTCAATCGGAGAATCTGCGAATATGGGAAAGGAAATAATCAATGTTTAAATATCGGAAACACACTGACATGCTGCAAACAGATCGCTGATTCGTGTAAATTATAAATATTCATATTTCTTATCTGATTCGATTTTGATGATATTATTTCTGAGTCGAAACCTCGAACAAGCAAGGCTCAACAAGCCGGTAAAAATTTAATCTGCAAAATGTTTACAAGCGGAACAATCTTGTGCTAATGTTTATCAGCGTCCGTGGAACAAGCTGGTTCATTGCTGTAAACGCGAAAGAATTTTTTTAAATACAGGATGATATTTTCGCACAAACACTACACAAGCGTACACTGTACACCGCATATGGAGATTACGGCATGAAATAAGTGCCCGTGTGCAAGATATTATTGCTGGTTCCGCACATTAGCAGAATTAGATGCCCCTGTAGCGAATGGAGAGCATTAGGTTGATAATTCACTAATGTGTGTGATAATTAGTATATATATATATATATATATATTCAACAGTAGTAATATACTTCAGCGTGATGCATTCATGTATAATACTATTAGATTCCATTGCCAAACATCGGTAACCCACAGTCACTGATTAAATCAGTATCTGCGCGTGCGTGCGCGCGCATGTATAGACGCCGTCAGCCGTACACGTTTTAACACACACTAGAAGCCCGCCATCTTAAATTAATTCATCACTGGTCCGTTGAGGTGCCACCATGATCGCAATGACCGGTAATCCGGTCGTGAATAAGTCTCGTATCATGCAGGAACCCAGTCAATTGCAAATGAAATGAATGCAGGCCGCTATGTGTAACCATATCCTCCTGAACATGAGCTACATTATTACGGACGAAACCTTTTTCCTGATTGAAATTGTATGTTCTTCAGTAATGATATATTAAGCTGCATTAGCGTCTCGTGAGGGGGCTTCTCTTCACGTTTTTATATCCATATGAGAGTATTATAAATGTTGTCACCTCTACCTAATCCCTTTCTGCATAATATCATCAATGCATAGAATTCGCGCACACCACTGCCATAATCTAGTAAAACAATGACTACTAGCAAATCTTTACAATATATTGTAGATATATTCTATATGTTTGTATATATTGTATAGATAAACTATAACAATAAAAATATGCTTATGTTCACTCTTATGGTGAAATTCTTGCACTGAACTTTCTATTTTGCCGTTTGTAAACCAACACTCATAACCCGTACGTTCAGTTTCTATAATTTGCACATTTTGTCCGTACAATAGCTCAACCCGCAGTTGTTTTTTTCTACTATAAACAACCGTTTATTAGGAAAGAGTTTGTAGATGTAGACGCATTTAGTCCTGATAATAATCATTTTTACGCAAAAATAACGTTATAGAAAATACTCTTTATAATATAGTAATTACATAATTAAAACGAATTATTTAACTAATTTAAATAATTAGAAAAGATGACTATCGGTCGTCTCATCAGTGCATGGCGAAAACAAGTCAATCAAGCAGGGGCCCGTTTTCAGAAACAAAATTTGCCTTAACATTAGCCTTAACATTACGCTGTTTCTGACAACGAGCCCCAGGTAGGGGTTTTTCATAATATTGCATCGGAGCTATATGGTTGGGGTTAAAGAGTTCCGACGCCATTTATTTAAAATGGCCGCTGCCGCAAATGGTAAAAGAATGTGGTAAAAAACTTTCAATATTAATTTTTGCATCGAAGGTGTGCGGAACACTTCTGAATAGCATACGCCTTGAAGTCTGGCTGAGTGAAGCTAGCCTTCCGTGTTTTGTGTGTGTAACAGATGTATGGATGTTCGCTTGACCGCCCCTATGCATGTATACTTGCAGCACGTGGTCTCTTGTGAAAGCCAGTGTGCCTGCCAGTCTAAGATAATCGGTCTGTACGATATGGTAGCAAGATCAATGTAGATGACCTGAAGCAATGCTCGGCGTATTTTCGATTGTACCACTGATAAGGGAGGAAACACACAAGCGAAACACGTTTGAGAGATGGTAGTACCTGAACTACCCGGGTTATTTCGGTCAATCCTAACGTTTTTCGCAGTATAGTAGCACATGTTGAACTTTTGGTTATCATCGCCGTGGGAACTAAAATTAACAGGATTGTGCAGTACTACCCCAAGCTACCTGGATTTGTCAACTGAAAAGAACTTTCATCAGCACAGCAATATATATATATATAGTATAGAGCTATTCTTTATACCTGCGCGCTGGCATCAAATTCGCGTAAAAGGATATTACGTCATAGCAACCTGAGATAACCATACAACAACACATAGATCCCACCGACTAAACACGCATGGCGAGCCAACGCTCGCGTTAGTTAGCGATCATAGTATGGAAATCAGCTGCTTAGATTATAAGATATTATATATGATTTTGTGGATTATGTGAATGGAACTGTTGGCTGAAAATGAATTCGAATGGTAAAATATTGCGTTTCTGTTCGGCAAAGACAAAAGTGTAATTCGAAGCTGTATAATACCTGAATTTTTTGTGAACGAAGCCTTTTGTGAACGATTAACAAAACATTTGGAAATCTTGTAAGAGCGGCTACATCGAAGTAGAACAACAAATTTAAGATTTCAGTTGTGCATGTGTCGTTTTACGCTGGGGTTGATTCCGTCACGAAACAGACCATCCGCACAGTTCCGGAAATCAAGCGTCTATATCATTAGTATCTCTGCAGTGACTATAATATTGCACACGCACCGTTTAAAATAGCACAGCACGTTGACAAATAACTGGTTGCGCTGTACTCTATCCTGTTTACGGAGGTTTCATGACCACCACCAGTCCAAGAAGCACACAACTGACAACGACAATATTAGGCACCTTGAAATCTGGTCAAGCGTGATGGACGTTCACCTATTTGTGAACGGCAGCGATGCGTAGCGAACGTCAGCTGAATGCAAGAAACCGTGTGAACAGAGTGAATTTGCAGTGGCTCAAAAGCAGATTCCCATCCGTGCTTTAGTCGTTCGAGGCAAGCATTTCATGTCGAACGGATTATTTTGCGCGGACACTCAGAGCATGCATGTTTGCAGTTTGCCGTGCGAAATTTGCTGCGACCATGTGTTCTTATATAGTAGCACTAGCAGACAGTATCGATGATTTCAATCGCGACAAAAGTCGAAATCACGCCTTAAAAACCCGACGCAAACAGACGAATTGTCCACGGACGTTTCAATGTACACGATGCGAACTTAAACACTGACGGATAGATATCGACCCGTATACACGCACGACACGTGCCGGGTATGTACTCGTATCGTCAAACTCGACGTGAGCATCCTGTGTCAAGTTATGCTGGCTGGAAGTTGCTCTCTGTCAGTTATCAACTGCATCTTCGGTATCAATAAAGCAATTACGGGCTTCACAGCGAGACGGATGCAATCTTATGTTGGAGTGAACGAAAGTAACCGAAACGGATAGAAGCACCGGCGAAATTGGCAATACAAGCAACGGAGCTGACGTCCCCCTCAACAGAATCACCACGCGTGTTGCTGGCTGTGCGGCGTTCTTTCTCACAGCGCTATTTTTGACTGCCTATGAGGTGAGGTAATAAACACGTGATGATATTATCTAGGTTGATGTAATAACTTTTTCTTTCATACTTTTGCTGCGTCTCGACGTTCTCCGCATTTAATATGCGGCAGCCAGTAACCGCTTTTGCGGTTGCCTTTGATTTCCTTCACGGAAGCTTTCATCTCTGCGTGTTGTCACATCATTTTAACAACATTTGCGAAGAAAATGGCCACGTCGGGCAGGCATGGCGCAGGTACATATATATATCGTGGAAACATGTAAAAAATACATTTCCTTTTAGAGCTTTGTCGGCGTGTTTACTTTGATGATACTAAAGCTACATTATCCCAGACATCAAACAACGTATATGGTAATTATTGCGATCATGCCCATTATTTCGTTAGCTCTCTCTAATATCATTTATAACGCCAAAGTGAATATTCATGCCTTGATATATGTCATAAGTGCTGTTAAATCTCCTGCACGAAATAAAGTTGCCAGTTCTTTCTAGACTAATCGAAAATTCACATATAAATCATGTCGCCTATATCACAATAATGATTAATCTGTAGAGCGGTAAAACCCGTGAGACACCGGGCCAAATACAATTTTTATGTTGCGATAGAAGCAGAACATGGTTTGCGAAAAAAAACTCTAGTTTTTATATAATGTTTGGATGCTTTTCAAGAAGAAGCTGCTTGGTGTAGTGTGAGACCTGTATGTTTGGTGTGTTGATCAAGATTCATATTGCTCTATGCGTACAGTTATTAACGTCAACCATCCATTATGTCTAATAATAAGTCTAATAATAAGTCTAATAATAAGTCTAATAATAAGTCTAATAAGTCTTAATAATATTAAGTCTAATAATAAGTCTAATAAGTCTTAATAATATTAAGTCTAATAATAAGTCTAATAAGTCTTAATAATATTAAGTCTAATAATAAGTGAAAATCTCAGGAGAGATGTTGCTTTACAGAAACTCACATACTGGTTATTCGTGTGCAAAAATATCACAATTGGACAATAATTATACGTACGAAACTATGCAGAAATTTTGACAGCACAAGATCACATACTATGTACTATCATGTACAGGAAGTATTTTACTAAACTTAATTTTAATGCAGTTTGGAATGCCAAGTAGAAATCTCGCATAGTGCGATACGTAAATGCACAGCTCGTGGTCGATAATAGAACGCATCCCTAAAACTGGTTACAGCTTGTCAGTCCGAAGGGTCACTGGTCCGAAGGTTTACTAGTCCGAAGGCCCACTAGTCCAAGACTAGTTCGAACGCTCACTAGTCCGAAGAGAAAACTAAAAATTTTTACTGATATTATTTAGCAAATTGCATGCTGATTGATGGCGCCACGTCATGGTTGGTAGCAGGAGAGTGGAGAGATAAATGTCATAAACATCATGGTGCAGATGGCCATGCAGATACACTGTCACTGGTTA